GGATATCGAACATCTAAGACACAATCTGACATTATCAGAATATCGAACATCTAAGACACAATCTGACATTATCAGGATATCGAACATCTAAGACACAATCTGACATTATCAGAATATCGAACATCTGGGACACAATCTGACATTATCAGAATATCGAACATCTAAGACACAATCTGACATTATCAGAATATCGAACATCTAAGACACAATCTGACATTATCAGAATATGGAACATCTGAAACATAATCTGACATGATCAGAATATCGAACATCTGGGACACAATCTGACATTATCAGAATATCGAACATCTAAATCCTGAATACATTTGTGTTGTACGTAACAAATTCACTCACAATGGACAAACCAGCGAAATACAAACGTAAATGTAGTGTTTTATATGATACTATTTCTCTGTTCTTATAATATTATTACTTACACCGTACATCATATATATATATAAATGATACGAACACTTATTAAGTTGTAAAAAGGTGATTTTTTTAACGTCTCGTTTTTTTGTTTGTTACGTACAATGCTACACAAAGGCCTATTTGTGCTGTACCTACCACGTGTGTCAGTTGTTAGCGTTACAAGTCTTCAGACTTACTGCTGAACCAAGTTAATATAAAAGAAAAAAAGGGGTTGCTGTAAATAATTTGATTATTGATTATCAATTATTGATTATTGCTGAAAGTAATCACGTTAAGAACTACAATTCGAACATGCATTTACAAGAGAGGAAAATATCAACAGACAGTATTTAAAACTATCTCTACTGTCTGTCTTACCTCATGCTGTAAAGGATTCTACCTTCTGGAGAAACCTTTATCAACATATTGGGAACAGTAACCAAATGGAAAGCGGCTTCCTTTACGTTCCTGAAGAATAAATCAGGCTTCCAAATACGGTTAATCAGGTCGTGTGCATTCAGAGTTACTGTCTCGTATATTCCATAACTCGCTAGGTGGAGCCTGTGGTCCTGCCAGGACTGGCGAAGGTAAATGTCCAGACGGTACTCCTTTTAAAGAAAATAGAATTTTAAAGATGGCGTGCAGTATTTGTATCTTAGTATCTTTGTAACACAAACGGGGTCGTTTACTCCTGTTTGAAGTATCTTTGTAACACAAACGGGGTCGTTTACTCCCTGTTTGAAGTATCTTTGTAACACAAACGGGGTCGTTTACTCCCTGTTTGAAATAGAACCAGGACCTTCTAATTCATTTTTAAAACAGAAACAGAGACGACGATTCTTTTTTTTTTTTTTTACATTAGAAACAGAAAGATCTATTTCCTGTTTAAGTTTGAAATAAAACTGTTTGTTCTCTGTTTAAATTAGAAACAGAACTGGCTATTTCCTGGTCAAAACAGAAACAGAACATTTTATTAAACATAAACATAGTCATTTGTTTGATTACTAAAAATGTAAAACAGTTTTTAAATTATTTTGTTAAAATCAATGAAATGTGTGTATCTTTAACTGTGTTTATAATTTTATTTTTACAATGATTTTAACCTAATTCACAACAACGATATTACATAAACTTTAAGACCATAAAACTAACTCGTACGGTGCCCAAACATTTACAGTCACGAACCCAGGAACAAACAATAAGTTTACTTAAAACAAAATGTCTTTATTTCCGTGAGAAACATTTCTTGTTGTTGGTCTTCGTTAAATAAAACAAAATTTTTGATTTGGACAACGTCAACAATAAATGGTAAAAATCGTGGTTTAATCACAAAGATGTTTTCACTTTCTTTACAACAATATTCTTGTTTTGATATTTCAGTTCGTTTGGCACAGTTCTTTTCCTTTAACGCCAACTTCGTAAAAGTAATTCAATTGTTTTTCGTTCACATGTCTTGAAAAAACTCGTAAGACAAACATCTTGGAAGTTAAAAGGAAGGAGGAGTGTATTTTTAAAACAAGTAAACATCGGGAAAATAAATTAAAATGCTTCTCTGGAAGGGGTGGTGGGGAGAAAGGATGTATTTGTGAAACAAATAAATATATTGAAAGTAGGTTAAAAGGTTTCTGTTGGGGGGAAGAGGGGCATCTTTGTTTGTTGGATAAACGATGTCTAAACTACTGTTGACTAGTCTACATTTAGTAGTATAATAAACATAGTTGGAAAATACTTACTTTCCGTTTCATATTCAAGCTATATAGAGATTCGTGATTTTTAAAAAATAGACAGGAACTGGTGTTGTTTTCTTAGTGCAAAGCTAAGCAATGGGCAATCTGCACTCTTTACAACATGAAAAATCAAACCTCGGATTTTTAACTTCTGTAAACTTACTGCTGACCCCTCGGGTCAACTTTATAGAACACCAGTTTTTATCTTTCTCTACATATGGTCAATGAATCATTACATCTAAGAAATGTTCAGATCCATATCACCGCTAGAGGGCGTAAAGTATTTCTGTAGAGTACGTCAAATTTTGTTCATTTGTTGCTGCTTCTTTAGAGCAAAGCCATATTTGGCTATCTGTTGCATTCCCCCCGGGTAATCGAACCCTAGATTTAGCGTTGTAAGTCCCGTAAAGTTGTCTCTATCCCAACGGGGGACGTTAACTATTAATATTAATGTCACTTTATTGAGATATTTTATGGATTGATGTATATAGATATACATATAGAGAGAGCACTGTGAAAGTTTTAAAGGTTTAAACATCAGATACGTGATGTAGGTGGCGCTGTTAGTTCCTAACAAAACAAATATATATATATATATATATTCTGATGGACGAGATAAAGATGTCAAAATCAAAGGTATAAATTTTAGCCAATAAGGTTAAACTGACGAGAACTGGACAATTTGTTAGGCACAAATAATTAGTGGATTTTAATCTTGAAATAAGAATTATGCACTGTGCAAAAAAAACAAAAATTTCTTTCTTTTTACAGTTAATATAAATACACAGTTTAATCATTGCACTAATTCATAGTTTTAAAGGAAATAAAATTAACATTCAAATATATTTCCATAACATAGATTTGTAGTTTCTTGACAAAAAATATAATTACCATGTTCGCTGCACTAATGGAGCCTAAGCTGTTAATATAGACGTTCACCTTTATGGGTGTAGGTTTACCTGTAAACCACCAAAACCATAATATTAGTACCGTATATGTTATCTTTATATGTTCTGTGAGTAGATTATACAATATATGTTTTATTACGTTTCACATTCATTAACAGTATTGGCTAGTGTGTTTAGTATGTCTATTTTCATGTTCTGTGAGTAGATTATACAATATATGTTTTATTACGTTTTACATTCATTAACAACATTGGTTAATGTGTTTAGTATGTCTATTTTCATGTTCTGTGAGTAGATTATACAATATATGTTTTATTACGTTTTACATTCATTAACAGTATTGGTTAGTGTGTTTAGTATGTCTATTATCTATCATTACTAACTTCGTTTCTTTATATATTTCAAAAAGTATTTGTTAGCTTATTATAGAAACTTAGATAGTGAAAACAGTTAAGCCGCACGAGAATGGCGAACCACATGGTCGGGATGTCGGTCCATCCCCAGCTAACAGTTGATACCCATCATTCTGCAGGGTAGAATGGAACTTATGACTAAACTGTCCTATTCGAAGACAAAATAGCATTACGCAGGCCAGCCTCGAACTCGCTAGAACTCCAACTACGAGTCCAAAAACGCAGGCCAGCCTCGAACTCGCTAGAACTCCAACTACGAGTCCAAAAACGCTGGCAGCCTCGAACTCGCTAGAACTCCAACTACGAGTCCAAAAACGCTGGCCAGCCTCGAACTCGCTAGAACTCCAACTACGAGTCCAAAAACGCTGGCCAGCCTCGAACTCGCTAGAACTCCAACTACGAGTCCGAAAACGCAGGCCACGTTCTCGTCACATGTACTTCGACTAACACAAACCTCTTAAGTTGGTTGTACTATTAACAGCGAGAGTAGTTAATTTTAACCGATAAAATAAATCGTTCTTATCATTATAACTAATATGATCAGAGCTGTACATTTAATTAGTTGTATTTATTAGTTGGCTGCTGTTAAATTCTGATTTGTGCAGCTCTGATCAGAGATTAATATTAATTATAAATAATATAATCAGAACTGCACATTTAATTAGTTGTATTTATTAGTTGGCTGCTGTTAAATTCTGATCTTTGTAGCTCTGATCAGAGGTTAATATTAATTATAAATAATATAATCAGAACTGCACATTTAATTAGTTGTATTTATTAGTTGGCTGCTGTTAAATTCTGATCTTTGTAGCTCTGATCAGAGGTTAATATTAATTATAAATAATATAATCAGAACTGCACATTTAATTAGTTGTATTTATTAGTTGGCTGCTGTTAAATTCTGATCTTTGTAACTCTGATCAGAGAGTAATATTAATTATAATTAGGATAATAAGAACAGTATGTTGTAATAGCTCTATTAATCATTTGGTTAGGATTATAAGTAATCGTAAATACTTGATTCTGAAACATAGGAGTTCCTTTCATGGTGTTTTACACACTCTTAATAGATTACTCTCAGTGGTATCAAAATACAGACTGACTCATCACCTGATAACAGACAAGTACACACTGACTCATCACCTGATATCAAAAAAGTACACTGACTCATCACCTGATATCAAAACAAGTACACACTGACTCATCACCTGATATCAAAACAAGTACAGATTGGCTCATCACCTGATATCAAACCAAGTACAGACTGACTCTTCAGCTGATAACAGACAAGTACAGACTGACTCTTCAGCTGATAACAGACAAGTACAGACTGACTCTTCAGCTGACAACAGACAAGTACAGACTGACTCTTCAACTGATATCATGCAAGTACAGACTGACTCTTCAACTGATATCATACAAGTACAGACTGACTCTTCAACTGATATCATACAAGTACAGACTGACTTTTCAACTGATATCATACAAGTACAGAC